AAAAAACGAAAATTTAGCGGTAAAAGTGGGAATTCTGCTTATAACTTAAAAAATTCATAACTCTTCCTAGAAGCAACTTCAGCACGAACCAAGCTAGGATATATCATACCTAGCTATGCCCTATCGAACCATGAAACCCCCAGTCGAAAAGCTTTTTAGCACCTCGGGTGGTTCCCTCGTAAGATGGAATAACTAATGTTAAATCTATGGGAAGTACATACCACACGACTGTTCTTTCAGCAAGTTTTTCATATGATATCAGATTAGTTTTATAGCCATACACAGATAGTTTTTCATAAACTAAAAAGAAGGAAACATACATAAATATTATCTATTTGTCTGATATTGTGTTACCTGTCGGAGGTTTAAGGCCTATAATTTGTAGACGAGAATTTGTATACTGGTAATCACCAGATTTTGAATATCTCTGAAAAAGAGCTTGATAATACTACCTATATAAATCTGTTAAACGTTTATCTTCGCAAGAGTGCGTTTCTTCAAAAACTCCACTATTGTAAGAGTCATGGGATTGGAGTAGAGCATCAGTTTTACTTAACTACAATTTCTAGTCTTCCTGTCCGTTCTTATTTACTTTATCTAACTGGTTATTCCGTATATAGTATCGGTCGATAATTGTATTCCAAAAAGTAGGTTGCTCTTTTTCGTCGATTAAACGAATTGGATAACCAGCAAATTGTGAATACTTTTCAGTGACTTCCAGATATTTTCTATTTAAATGTTCTACAAGATCTTCCTTTAGATACAGCACAACTTTCGTACCACGACCAAGAGGTTTGCCTAAATATACAAAGAAACAAATGCATCAGGAACTAGTAAATAAAATGAATAAAAATTCATCGAGTTGTGTCACTCAAAGCATGGATCAAGCTGTCTTCTACTTCTGGACTCATCACACGAATGAAAAACACCTGCAAATTTTATGTATGCAGTACAAGTGTCAGATGAAAGTTCTCTCACCATTTGTATCTTGTCGAATTGTAAATAATTGATCGTACACGTGATACATGATATGCATACACGTGATGATATAATGATGGGTGGATTTGTTTTGCAATGAACAAAAATAGAAAATAAACATTCATTTTTCTTCGGTACAGTATTCCAAAATATCACGGTTTCATTGTCTTTATTAATGCCAATTATCGCAGGCAGATTTGAATACATGAATTGTTCATCATCAACAATTGCGGGTAATGGCTTCAATCGATAAACTGAAAAGACATTGTCACTTGCAATTGACGAACGCAAGAATAATGTAGAAACGATAAGACATGGCTGATTAGTTCCCATAGGTTGTTCATTAATTGAGCATGAACGTTGAATATACATAAATTGACCTACGATAAGTTGTAAAATAGTGTTAAGGGCTTCAGAGAGATCTTCCATTTGATAAGATTTGTCGATAGCAGACATGGCTGCAGTCAAAAACGAAGCTAGTTGATTGCTTGTTAGGTAATCAAATCCGATTTTATTATTTCTCATTTGTGTAAGTATGCGAGCAAATGCAGTTGGTAATATGCGTGGAATGCTCGATTGATTGCTAGCAAGAGGAATCTTGGTTGAATCAAGTACAGAATTTTCGATATCATTCGTCCAATGGAATTGATTATTGATGTAATGAATAATGGAGTACATTTTTAACATTGCTGTGTCGGTACGAGGAATTCTAAAAATTCGCTTAACATCTTCTTGAATTAAATAGGAAACTTGATGACTGTCATATCGAGGTAAAGTAATGACGGTGTCACGAGATGGTAATATAGTCGCAAATTCCAATGTGTTGATTCTTGCGTTAAATGTAGTGAACTGACACACATCCGTTGAAGACGACGCAAGGCACAGGCCTTCAAGAGGTATCACCGAGTGAACAATTTCTTCTTTAAGTTTCGCCGAATATTGGCCGATGCATTGAAGCATAAATGCTTTGTCAATATTAATAATTGCATCAGCTGTAGGTATATTTATCATTAGTGAAAGTGTAATCGTTTTAACTAAATTGATTGTATAGAATAGCAGTAGCAGTTGTAAAGAGACAGCCGTCGTGAATCAAAAGGTTGTATGAATGACACAAATTGAATTTCATTCTGACCTGTTGCATGCTTTTTCATTTTTTCTCTTTCTCTCTCTTCTTCTCCCTCATCGGTTATAATTGAATTCAGATTTTCTTTGATTGTAGAAGTGTTTGTTTATCTATCAATCAGATCATTTCCTGTTGCAATTCGTTCTATACGTGTCACATACAGACATTGACTATGTGAGGAAGACAATAATGGAAACTACTTTAGAACGTATGAAATTTTCTTCTTTGTCGATCATATCGACGTTACACTTAGCTCTTAATCTATTTTCAATGGATTAATCAAGCTGTGTCACATTTCTCACTTTTACATTTTCAGTCAAGGAGATGTTATCGGTACCTTTGATTCATCTTTGGATAGTAAAACCCTGACATTGACTGATATCTCATCAATCGATTTTCATACTTTGCAATTTCGAAAATTCAACAATCAACTATATCTTACAAATATTTTTATTCGAAGCTGAAGAATATCAACCAAAGAAAACAATCAAATTATTCAAAGACTAATTTTACTTGAATTTAACGATACGCTTTCAAAGCAAATGAATCTTGATATGAATTCATCATATTCTTCCAGTTAAAAGCGTCATTCATGAAACCTTATAAAATAATGTTCTAGTGCAAGTGAAATATTCATCTTTTCGGAGTTTAATCTATCAACTTGCCCAAACATAATTGTCATTTTCGTCAATCCTGTTGATATGTCTTTCTTCCTGTTTCCATCTAATTGATTTCCCCAATTAATCAACCGTATCGCTCGTTCAGAAAGAAACAGTGAAAGAGATATCATTCGTCACCTACGTCCTCTTTCTTAGAAAATAAAATAGAGAAGGAGAGAGAGCATGATAGATTCTATAAATGGGAATGATTTCGTACAGAATTCATGGAAAATTCGATCGAATATCTTACAAATATAATTCCAATTGGTCAAAGCAATGGTGTTCAAGTTTCTCAAGAAGAAAGATTATAGGACAGAAGTGGGTGGTGTAGAGGGGTTTATGGCAGCTATCAAGCAACTAGGATCGGACTATCATGGGTTAGATGACAAAAGCAACGGCTATTCAAAATCAGATAGCATATGGGATCGATTGGCAGATTTAACACAAATTTCCAAGAAAGATACCTTTGATACTCGTAAGTGGCTCTATACAATATACAACAACTCTATACAAAGATTTAGACAAAACGAACCTAAAGATCTAAAAGTGAGAGTAAAACAGAAGAATTTCAATTTAATAATATAGTACGCAAACGACAAAACTTTTTATTTATAGTATCTTTGAATGTTTTAATGTTCTTCTAGTAATACTTTTATTAAATTTCGTCCTTGTTTGGCGCATATAGTCGAGTGGCTAAGAGCGTGAACAGAACGCTACATAGATTTGGATCCTGTATGAAGCGATTGATTTTTTTCTGTTCTTTTGGGTTCTTTTTCCATTCAAAATACTACTTATATCAGTTCAAACCAAACTTTAAATTAAATTTCAATTTTTCTTCTCATACAGGTTATATGCAAACAAGTGGTGAATGGCCGTTCACTATTCACTTCTTTACTGAAGCACAGTTGGATCGATTTGCCAAGTATTGTAAAATCGAAAAGTATTCGACCTTATACATCGATGCTACTGGTTCGGTTGTTCGAAAATTGAAAGATCAAAATGACGTATTTTATTATTCAATGGTATTTCAAGATAAAGATTCTTCAATAATGCCACTTAGTGGAGCACTATTGAGCGATCATACAGCTGCCTGTATTACTTCGTATTTTAACTGTCTTCGTAGTAAATTACCAATACGTAGTAAAGTCGCTCGTCCAGCCTTCATTGTTATTGATTTTTCTGCCGCATTAATTAACAGTGTACTTGCTTCATTCAATGTTGAGAACATTCACAGTCATTTGCGACGATGTTACAATACAACCCAAGACTAATATACTACCAAACAATTACGTAATATGACATTTTTACGATTGTGCTGTTCTCACGCGATGAAAGCTTTTTCGCGTAATCTTTTCAAATTAAATGTACCAAAAGAAACCCATCATCATTTAATGTCTCTCTTCGCTGTATTGCTGAACTCTACGGATATCGATGGTATATTTGCTTTATATAAACAAATTGTCCATATTTATGGAGATCCACACTAGAAGAACTCATCTGATACATTCGCTTTACTTTTGAGTGAATCTGATCTTTCTAATTTGGATATCAATCCATTTTTGGAAGAAAGTTATGTTCAAGATGATAAACCAAATAAGCAAGATTTTCTGGACGAAATAGATGTCACAACTGATCCGATTATTCATCAATCACCTTTCAATATCAAAGCGTGTGCTGATATTCCAGCTCTACGACGAATCACAGAAAAAGAAAAACTTGTTGGCGAACCGTGCAATCCATTGTATTCACCAAAGATTATTAATTTACTATATAGATGGTTTGCTTATATCCCGTTCTGGTCATGTATAATGACTGATATCTTTGAAAGG